AGTATTAATAAATTATTTAATATAAATAAATGTGTAATTTAAACATTTCTCTCACGTCTCGAATTCGTTTCTCTGCAAAAAATAAAATTTATAAATTAAATTGATAATTTTATATTTTTTTCACTGCAAGTAATTGTTTGAAAGCATTAATAATTAAATAATAAATACAATTTTGATATTTGATTACAATACATTGTAAAATTTATGTTTGGATGTAGTGCCTCGTAAATAAATATTTACTCAATCGTCAAATAATACAAAGGAAAATCATTAATGTTCATGATTAATCTTGAATAATCCTGTTTCTACAATTCAAAGATTAGTGTTGATAGAATTTTTTTTGACTTTTAACATTATTATAATTGTTTAGAGCTATATTTAAACGAAAAAGTTTTATTAAATTTATGTAGTCACATCATTCCACATATTTTTAAATATAAATCTTAACATTACCTATTAAAAAAACAAATAGTGAGTGTTGTTTTTTACTTAATTGTATTTTTAAGTGAGAGTATCTGTCTTTTCGGTAAAATATCCATTAATTCACAAAAAAAAAACTTCTACATAATTTTTTTTAATGTATTATAAAAATATAATAATATATTTTTAAAAAGCTTCGATTTTTTCCAACAATGTGACTCATTAATTGCTTTTCTGGTTTTAATCGAACCTAATTTTAAAAAATTCTCTTTGATTCATTTTGATTACTTAAAGAGAAGATATTTTTGGAAATTTTCATATAAATAATATTATAATTATTTTAGTGTTTGATACTCGAACCCAAGTTGTATTTAAATAATAATACAAATAACATTCGCTTTGTTTTTTTTCATTATGATTATTATTATTTATAAAGTGAAATTAGTCTTTTTACTGAAACTAAATATTATTTGTCGAATAATTCTGAATATTTATAATTATAGTGAGTGAATTAAGTTATAAAAATTATGAAAAAAGTCAAAACTTTAAACTTTAGTGATTTGTATTTTTTTTTTTATTTCAATGAAAGTTAATCATTTACTCTTGAAAGATAATTTTTGTTATTTGTAGTAGAAAATAAGATTACTTTAGGTCATGATTTTAAAAAGAAATTTTGTAAAAGTTATAAATGTTTAATCAATATTTAATTTACTTAGTGTTTTCCATATTAAATAATTTTTTTTTTTTTTCAATTTCAGATAAGCCATTAAAAAATGTCGCAGATGCAAGAAAATCAAATGCCGAATAGGCTGGCAAATTTTAAGCACAAAGGAAAAGATATTGAAGTAATTAAAAAATGAAAACAAATTTTTTTGGAAAAAAAACTTTTAAATATATTAAATTATCTCTTTTTTTTTTTTTGAAGGAAATGAGAAGGCGACGAAATTCTGTTACTATAAATTTAAGAAAAGCTAGTAGATATGATCAATTACTTAAAAAAAGGAATGTGTCTGTAAATGAATCTCCGTATGCATTTCAAGACGGCAATGCTTCAACTCAATCCAATTCTGTCATGACTGTTCCTGAAATTATGTCAGCCATCACAAGTGGAGATGAAAATTTTGTTTTTGAAGCACTTCAAGATGCTAGAAAAATACTTAGCAAAGATAAAAATCCTCCAATTCAAGATATAATCAATTCTGGAATTGTTCCTCACCTTGTCGAATTCCTGTCAGAGAAATACAAGTAAGGAATAATTATTTAAAAAAATGTTTTCGACCTAAGTTGATAAAACTAATGATGATGATGATGATAATAATATTTAATTTCAAGTGAAAAATTTCAATTTGAAGCTTGCTGGGCTTTGACAAATATAGCATCTGGAAATTCTGATGAAACGGCTGTAATCATACAATCTGGTGCTTTGCCCAAATTTATTGCTTTATTGAATTCTCCGCATGAACAAGTTGCCGAACAAGCAACTTGGGCGTTGGGTAACATTGCAGGCGATGGACCTAAGCCTAGAGATCTCGTTTTAGAATTAGGAGCTTTACCTATATTATTAAAATTACTAGAATCCGATCTCAAAATTAGTGCCGTTCGTAATATTGTTTGGACTATATCAAATTTATGTCGAAATAAAAATCCTCCACCGCCATTCAGTGTCGTTAAAACATGTTTACCGACTTTTCGTAAATTGTTATATTCCAAAGATAATGAAGTTTTAGGTAAAGTATTTGCAGTAATTAAATGTTAAATTCGTCCAAGTATAAATTTTTAAAATTAATAAAAAATTTTTTTTTTAGCGGATACTTGTTGGTCTCTGTCTTATTTGACCGATGGTCCAGATAAAAGAATTCAAGCTGCCGTCGAAACGGGAGTCGTGCCACGATTAGTCGAACTTTTATCCGAAAGTTTTGCTTCCAACATCACCCAAGTACTAACTCCGGTTTTGAGAACAATCGGAAACATAGTCACGGGTAACGATTTTCAAACAGACTGCGTCATAAATGCCGGAGGTTTACCGAATTTGAGAAATTTACTGAGCGCGGACAAAGATAACATTGTCAAAGAAGCCGCTTGGTCAATATCGAACATAACGGCCGGAAATAAAGAACAAATTCAAGCAGTCATCGATGCTGAAATTTTACCACCTTTGATAAACGTTTTACAAAATGTAACTTTTCTTTTTAGTTTATCGTTAATTATGTTTTGGTTAGATAAGAGAGTCATTTGTTTTGTATTTCAACAGGGAGATTCGAAATCGCAAAAGGAAGCTGCTTGGGCCGTGACAAATTTCACTTCCGGTGCGACCGTCACGCAATTGTTTTTCCTTCTCCGCGCGGGTGTCATACCTCCCCTGTGCAATCTTTTAGACGCAAAAGACTGGAGCACAGTTTTGGTCGTCATGGACGCTCTCACGAACATTTTGAAAAACGCTAAAAAAATCGGAGAACTTGATTCCATCGCGTTGATGATAGAAGAATGCGGGGGCGTCGACAAATTGGAAGAATTACAAAATCACGAAAATCAACAGATATACGAAAAAGCATTGGATATAATACAGCATTACTTTTCGAAAGCGGCAAGTTTTCATTTAATAATAATAATAATGATAATTTTTAATGGGTTAAACGTTGAATTATTACCCCAAACGCTCAATTTAACATAAATTTTTTGTTTGTTTAGGATGAAGATGAAAGCGTGGCACCAGAGGTTAACGGTCAATTTAATTTTAGCGCGCCCAAACAAGGGAGTCAATTTGATTTTTAAACTTATCCAAAACACTGAAATTTTAAACTTTTTTTATATATTTAACATTTAGAAACAAATTGTAATGATTTTCCTTGAAATATCGGGCACGATTTGGGATTTTAATCGCTTTTTTTTATTATCCATAAGGAAGAAGAAGAAAGGGGGGGGGGGAAATGAAATTAGCGGTAGAAGTGAAATATAATAAATGTTCCGATAATAAAAATTTTTTTTTTTTTTTTTTATTTGTTGGTGGTCATAGAGAAAGAAAACAAAAACAAAACATTGGTCATTGATTATCTTGAATTAAAATTTACTACATTTTATTTTATTATTTTTACAAGTTTATCCTTTTTTTTTTTTGTTGTTTTTTTTTTATTACTTTTTTTAAGACTTGAATTTTAATTTTTACGTTTATACTTGTCGGTAAATGAAAGTTAAAAAAAAAAAACAAACGAAAGAAAGGAAAAAGGTTTTTTTATCGAATGAAATTATTAATTGTCTTAAATGAATATAAAATTATTTTAATTTTGTTATGTATTTACCACAGGTCAATATTTTCATTATTATACATATATTTTTTACTTTTGTAATATGCATTATTATTATTATTATTTTAATTCATAAAAAATACGTTTAACCTTCTCGTTATTAATTTTCCTGTACGTTTAAATTTCGATATTGTTAAAAAGGAAACAAGAAAATTTCAAAATGGCGTCATGCGTTAAAAATAACGGTTAAAAGTGGCAGCAGAATATTTGACGCTTGATTCCAAGCCAATGGTAATCGTGAGAAGGAGTGGGGGGAGTGAAGTATTGTAACCGTTTCTTGTTTCGCGTTGACGCAGTAAACGAACGTTACGTTTTAAGTTTTTTTTTTATTTTATTTAAATAAATTATTATTGCGAAATTTTTTTTTTTAATGAATTATTTAAACCAATCATAACAAATTTAATCAAATTATTATTATTATTATGTTATGATTAAGAAATAATTATTTAAAAAAAATTTATATTTATGTGAATAGTTAAAACGTTGTGATATATAATTTAGAAAAGGTAGTAGTTATGAATAACACACTTTTACAATCGACTCCATTGACTTTTAGTGAAGAATTGAAAAAAGCATTCAACGAAAGGAATATATTGACGACAAGATCTAAAATGAAAGTTTTATCTGCATTAAACGAATTTACAAAAACATCTAAAATTCAAAAAGAAAAAGAATTGAAAGAGAAAGCAATTAATGAAATATACACATCTGAAATTAATTATTTGAAACAATTAGAAATAATTATGAAGGTATGATAGGATTCACAATTTTATTATTATGAAATTTTATGGCTTTTATGATTATGCACATTTTTCTCTTTTTTTTTAGTACTTCATGGAACCTTTAAGAAATAAAAATTGGCTTCCAACAAACACATTTCACGCTCTGTTTGGAAATATTGAAATTTTATATAAGGTTAATGGTGAATTACTTCAAGAATTAAAAAAACAAAATGGAAATGTGGGTGCTGCATTTAACAGATTAGCACCTTATTTAAAATTATATTCTGTTTATGCCTACGATTACAAGCAAGCTCTACAAATATTACAAGTATGATTTTTCAAAATCGTGTAGTTTAAACGAAAGAAATTATTACATAATTAATCTCACTTATCGAATTGTAAAATTTTTATTTAAGGAAATGCAAAAGAATAATAAAGAATTACATGAGTTCATAACAACACATGAAAAAAGACCAGAAGTTTCTGCATCATTTCAATCGTTGTTAATTGTTCCAATTCAAAGAATTCCACGATATAAATTATTATTACAGGAAGTATTAAATCATACTTGCGTGGATGATCCAGAATATTTTATTTTACAAGGTAAACTTTTTGTTCGATTTCAAAATATTTCATTTTATATTAATTATAATAAATTGTTATGTAACAGGTGCTTTAAAAAAAATTGAAGAAACAGCGTCTCACATAAATGATCACGTTAGCCAATATGAAAATGTTGAAAGTATGTTATCTCTAGCAAAAAGATTAACAGGTTCACCATTGGATATTGTCGAACCTGGAAGGAAAATCATTAAACAGGGTTCATTAATGAAAGTAAATTTAACATAACCTTAAATTAAACCTTTTTTTTTTAAACTAAAATTATTAGAGTTAATTATAAATGAATGAATTTAGGTATCGAAAAATTGGAAAAGATCAGATTCGAGATACGTTATACTTTTTTCCGATTATTTAATGTATTGTAAAGGAAGTGAAATGGGTCCTTTGAAATTTTCCGGTCTTTTACCCATAAGACACTGTCAAGTCGAACCTATATTCAGCACAGGAGTTTTTAAAATCGTCTGCCAAGAAGAAGTTTTATTTTTTTACACGTCGGATTCTAAATATGGATCCGAATGGATAAATTCGTTACAAACGGCAACGAAAGAAGTGAGTTGGAAAATAAATTAATAAATAAACTAACATAATCGATATTAAAAAACTTTTTTTATTTGCAGCATCAGGAATGTAGGAAAACACTGAGAAAAGAAAGCAGCAGACGAAAACCTCTCAGACGTAGTAATAATAATAATAATAATAGTAATAAATATAATAATTACGGTTCGAAAAATTATAAATTTTTTAATAGAAAAGAACAACAAACAACGACTAATTATTCCGGTTGTTTCGGTCGTTTGTTATTTTTAAGATGATGACGATCGTGCGCGTGCGCGAAATTAAATACGACAAACAAAAATTATATTTATATACATAAATATATATTTTTTTTATAAACAAAATGATAACAACAACAACAACAATTAGATAAATAAATAAAATCATCACGTTTTAAATTTATAAACACGTAAAAAAAATCAATTGTTAAACAATATATATATATTTTTTTTTTTTTTTTACATGCATAAAAACAAATGAATTTTTTTCTCCCCTTCATCATGTCACGTGATAACGATGACGTCATCGATAAACGTAATTTTTCCTTTTCGTATCGATCTGGAAAAAAATGGCGGCCTTTTTAAAGGTTTAATGGTATAGTTAACGAATGATGTGAAAAATTAATTAATTAAAACTCACGTAAATTTTTTTCTTTTCGATTCTCGAACATTCTTTTGATAATTTTTTTTACTCGGTCGTTTATTATCATTATTATTTTGTTTTTCTCCACGTTCGATTTAACTTCCTGTTTTAAAAATAATTAAAAAATTATTATAATTGAGAATAACGTTTTTCAAATTTTACACCTCACGCATTTACTATTACACTTTTTAATTTTCTACCGTTGAGGTTAACGACCTTTTACCGTTACTACGTCATCATCGAACGTTATACAATCTAAAAAAAAAAACGGAAAAATCATTCAAAGAAAATTATTATTATTATTATTATTATTTAAAATAATGAAACGGAAATGGATTTTAATTTACCTTGATTTTGTTTTTGTTTTTGCGCGGTCTGTTTAGCTTATGAATAAAATCCATACGTTTCATCACGGTACGTTCCCTTAACGACGTCGCAATCATTTTCTTCTCCCCGAAGAAACTCCTGGAAAAAAAAAAGAAAATTTTCAACGGACGAATCAGGTAATCATGATATTGATAATGATAATAATAATAATAATAATTTTATCTTATTTCTTACCTGCTTTCCTATTTTTTTTTTTTAAATAAAAAATTAAATTCGTGCAATAATAATACCTTCAAACCAAAATTCGTGCGAATAAATAAATAAATAAATAAAAACTGAAACCAACTTAATAATAATGATAACGATAAAAATTAATTAAATAATTAATTAACTAAAATAATTATTATTAGTCGCAAACTATTATTATTATTATTATTATTAATTTGAATAAATTAAGCGGGGATTTTTTTTTTTTTATAGGATTTAATCATGCGAATCGTGCTATGGGGGGGGGGGGAGGGCGGGCGGGAAATTATATATACGACGTGCTCGAGACGTTAAAAAAAATTAATAATAATAATAATTATTTGTAGGTACGATGTTATTACCTGTTTTAGGTTTTAACCCAAGCTTGAAGGATATATATATGGTCACTTCGTCACTTGGGGCCTACCTGTTTCCCAACTTTACATGGGGTTTTTATTGTCGAAGGTGACCCGTTCGAATTATAATTATCAACATCACGAAGAAGTGAATCTCTAGAATCTCCCACTTCCTAAATTCCAAAAAACAAATTATTATTATTATTGCGAAAGGGTCAAAGGTTACCGCTAAGAATTACTAAATCACCTGTGAGGGAGAACTTGCGTTACTTAATGAAAATTGCGAATCTGTATCATCCGTATCCGGTTGTTTATCATTTTCCGTTTGATTTTTATTTCCGTTTCGGCGGTAAAACCTAAAGAGGGAAAGGGGGGGGAAGGGGAAAAAAGTTTATTCATGACGAATCGGGAAAAATTTTTTTTTCATCCGAACCTTCAAAAAACCTACCTGGACGGTAGCGGTTGTTTTAAAAGTTCGCTTTGTTCTAACAACAATTGAGTTTGTTTATTTTGAACCATTTCCATTTGTTGTTGTAACGTTTGAGCAGACGACACGTCATTTTTTTGCCTTATTTCTTGTGCCGCCTGTACCAGTTCTTCCGTTTTACTCCCTAAAATCCTCAATTCTTCCGCTATTTGATCCAAACGATCCTGAAAATTTTTATTATTAAAAAAAAAAAAAAAAAAAATTAAATTCTCTTATTATTATCATTATTATTTTGCATCGGACAAACTTGTCTTTTAATTTTATCAAATTCGAAATTCGAATCGTTTAAACTTGAAGATGAAGATTCGTCATCGACGACTCTGATTTTCTTCGGACAATTAATATTATTATCTTCTTGTGTTTTGTAATTTAATTGGTAACTGAAACTTTTACCGCCGGCAACGAAACTGTAAAAATCAATCAAATCACGTTAACTTCCCTCCCCTCCACCCACTCCCCTTCCCTCCCCTCATAACGAACCTGGAATGTCCTTTTGTCACGTGATATCCAGAATCTCTAACGATTTGTCTTGCCAATGCAAATAAATCATCTCTTCTCGTTAGGAGTGCTGGAGAAATTTTACAAATTTGTGCTGCTGCTTCATTGACCGATACCTAAAAAAATATTATTATTATTATTATTCTATTAATAAAAACGATAATAATAATAATAATAATAAATTGAACATAATCGGTTTCCTTATTTAATAATAATAATAAAAAGAGATATGTTTAACAGAAACCCTTTTTGGATAGCCGGAACTGAATAAAAGAACCCCATAAAAAAAATTTTTTTTTTTTTTGTCTTCTGCTACTAACAACAAGCTGCGGGGCATCTGGTTACGATATATTTAAATTTTTAAGGGTAGTTACAACTAGTGACAACTTTTAAAAAAAACACCTTTTCGAATTTATATTTACCTCGTGAAAGGTTAATGGCTTTTGTGGATTTCTTTTACAATCGAATCTACCATAAATGGCTGAATATTTTCTTATTTCGTCCATTCTTTGTGGATCATCTCGCGACATTTTCATAACTTTCTAAAAAAACAATTTTTTTAACCGTAATTTTATGTTGCCCAAAAAAAAAAAAAAAAAAAATGGAGAACGAAAAATGGAAAATGGAAAATTTACTTCTAAATTTCTACAAATTTTCTTCTTCGCGTTTTGCGGTTTCGGTTCGAATTGTGGTAATGTTTTCACCAATGCTTCTGCTGCTTCTGACAATTTTATAATTTGACATTCTGACAAAACGGGATTTTGATTTGATGGTGATCCCGGTGGTTGATTTAGGATCGTCGGACTGGGACTAGGACCACGGATTATGGCCTCTCTTTGATTGTTTACTTCGCTTGCGACCTAAATTAAAATTAAAATTTTTTTTTTTTTTTATTTCGTTCCAGATGAATCCCACTCTCGAGGATCCCCTTTTCTTACCTGAAATGAATCCTGCGATGATACTACCACAGGTACTACTTCTTTCGTCGGATTACTGACATTTTGAGTATTTAAAGGCGTCGATGATAAATTTATAGCGGATGTTCCTGTCGTTGTCACGTTGGTCACAACAGAATTTAACGGTCTGTTAACCACGTGGGTAATATTATTGGTAGTTGGTACCAACCCTGACGAAAGAGGTGTTTGAAACATGGCTACATATAAAAATTAACAAACATCATCATCATCATCATCATCTTTGTTGTTATACCCTCACGTTTCATCGAAGCGTGATGGTTAATAATAATAATAATAATGTTCTTTTCTTATCGTAATCAATTCTTTCGGCGTTAATTAACTAATTAATAATAATAATAATAAACGTAGCGAATTAACGGTTAAATTAAAAATTATTCCTTCGGGCTATCCATCGTTAAGGTTAAGGTTAATTAAATGTAAAACAATCGTCGCGGAAACATTTTTTATATTTTTTATTTTTTCATTAAACAAATTTAAAAAAGGGCAACAATGAGTTTGAGTTTGTTAATTAACGGATTTTGTTAATTAAATAACGAAAAAATATTTTAAAAAAACGCATCCGACTAAAAAAAAAAAAATTTTACCCGAGTTGACGACGTCTTTACGTGTTACCGTAAACAAAAAAAAAAAAATGACGAGTTTTTTTGTTTCTTTTTTTAAACTGCCCACATGAGGGCAGATGGTCAACAACAACAACAACAACCAAAAATTATAATCAAAACCAGACGGGGTTACCCCCTTAGATTTCCGATATTTGAATAGTAATTTCTTATATACCCAACCGTTTTTTTTTTTACAAATAATCACGTGACTTTATTTATTAATGAAATTTTTTTTTTGTTTGCAGGATTGTTTTGGTTGTGAAGAAGAAGAAAAAAACATTTTTTGTTGTGTGTTTTAATATTCAACCCTCTCACCATTTGTCTGCCACGATTACGCATCATCATTAAATAAGGTTTTTATGTATCACGTCCGACGGACCGACCGACATGTCTACCCGTTGTTACTTTTATTCAGGTAATGAATTTTTTTTTTTTTAAGGTTCTCATTGTTAAGTGACAGGTTCAAAACGCGAAGGATTTAAATTAAGGCATATTAAAACATCAATATGGTGTGCGTCTAAATTCACTTTTTTATATCGTGTTTTGTTATAAGGTGTTTTAAAAATTTAATCAAACGTTAAAGTTCCGACAGCAACAACAACAAACAACAAACAAACAAACTCACCCGGATTTGTTATCCATTCTTGTAATGCTTTTTGTAATCTTCTTACGTGTAATGGTTTTGATGCCATTCCTACCAATGCCATTATTTCTAAAAATTCTTCTTCTCCCGCATCGCAAAGTTGTTGTACGTCATCTCCACCTAAATAATAATAATAATAATAATTAAACATTTAAATATTTCGGACATAATTAATAATAATAATAATAATAATAAATTTACCCATTTCTAAAAGAGTATCGTAATAAGCAAGAAGACTTGCTCTTTGCATTACTCTATAAAGTTGTAATTCTGCTTCGTTGTTCGGTGATGATGTTAATACAACTGAAAAACAAACAAACAAACAAACAAACAAATTACTCTTAATGAAATAATAATTACTTATTATTATTATTATTATTTTTATCTTATTTATAATTTTAAAAAATTATTCGACCTTTTTTTCTGTTTGTCTTAAAATCAACCCTTATTACAAAAAAAAAAAAAAATTAACATCTGACATATGGGCCGATTGTAAAAATTATTTAATAATGTATTTATTTATGTAAAATTATTATTATTATTATTATTATCATCATCAGTAGTATCGATTAAAATAATTATTTACGATGTAAAACCGATAATTATCACATTTAATTAATTAAATGTTTTATTTTATTTTTTCATTCGATCGTTTCTTTAAATTCCCGCCATTTTTTTTTTTTTTTTAAATTTTAAAACGTTACGAGAATAGAAAAAAAAAAATTTATTATTATTGTTTCGGGAGAGAGAGAGAGAGAGAGAGAGAGAGGGAGACGTAAAAAAAAAAAATTGTCGGGCAAAAAAAAAGTAGAAATAACCGCCATTTTAAAGTAAAATCATTGGAGGGTTAATTTCACCCCATAAAAAGTCTGCAAACCTGATTGGCAAGTATTTTATTAAGGGTTCCTTCCCAGCGAACGAATTTTACAACCAAAAAAAAAAAAAAAATGATGATAATAATAATAAACGAATATAAAAGTATATATTGTCGCACCCCAAGCTGAAATTTTAAGGGTAGGTCAAATATTTCACTCTTTTTTTTTTTTAGGGATGTGTAAATAGTTCAATGTTTAACTTATATAGAATATCAACAAAAAAAACACCCTTAAATTTATTATTATTATTATTAATTTTTTTTGTTAAAAAAAAAAATATTTTTATTATAATTGAAAAACAAAAAAACAAAAAAAGTTGATACTTTTTAAAAATAAAAAACTCGCGCGTTTTTTTTTTTTTCCGACGGTTAAACGAATTTTTTTTGTGATCGACTATTATTACCGGTACTTCCGGTAAAATCATCTTCTCTCATCTCGCATAAAAATATTTTTACTAACGAATTTTTTTTAATTATAAAAATTACATCATCCCTTATTTTATTAACGACACAATTAAGGGGTTTTTTTAAACGAAAAAACGTGATTTTCTTTTGGAAAATCTTTCGAATCTTTTCCATTTTCCGACAGTAAAATCGCAATTTAAATTTTTTTTATTTAAAAAATTTCATTTTCAACCCTTTTTTTAAGGGATGAAGTTTATTATTATATTTTTAAAGTAAACGACGTAATTTTGATAAAATTTTTTTTTTTTTTTACGTGAATAAAATAATTGTTATTATTATTTAACGAAACCCTTTCATTTAAACAAACAACAACAAACAACAATCGAAACGTGGTCGCGACTATAAAAAAAAAAAAAGGGAAAGTTTTTAAGGGTTTCGAAGGTTTTTTTTTTTTTTTTGCTTCAAGCGAGTCTCTCTCTATATAATTCTTCTTTTATAATGAATACTTTATCGTGAATACAAAAAAAAAAAATGACCCGCGTTTTTTTATGGTGGGCACGCAGGCAGACAGACAAACAGACAAACGGACAAACGAACAAACATACAGACAATTTTAAATTCTATCCCTATGATGATGATGGGGATGATACTCACGATCTATTCGTTTTCTTTTTTTTTTTTTTTTTTTTACCCACAATTGGTCATGTGTTTCCTGACCTATGGTATTATTAATAAACACGAACACCCCCCCCCCGAAAAGTCCCTCCCCACGTTTGTTTCGTGATTTAAACCGGCCCCTCGAGGTGAGGGTGACGTTTATCACACAAACGTTTTTTTTTTTTTTTTTTTTCAAAAGGTGAAATTTTCCAAACTTCCCCCGAAACTACCTTCTTCCCTTTTACTGTGGGGAAGGAAAGAGGGAGAAGGTGAGGAGACGTGGTTTTAGGTACAAACGAAAAGATTTTTTCACCCGGAAAATAATAATAATAATAATAATAATAATCAAACAACAAGCAGATGCAATTTTTTTTTTTTTTTTTTTTTGAATAGAAATCGACGAAACGTAATTTATATGATTGTTTCATTTAAATAAATAGATAATTAAACATAAATAATAAATAGATGATGATAATAATAATATTCGTTAACGCGTTTGTTGATGGAAATTATCATTATCATTATTTTTTGTGTTTGTTTGTCTCTAACGTTAAATCAAACAAAATTCTTTTACCACGTCTTTAACGCTCGAACGATTCATTCGAAATTTTTTTTTTTTTTTTTTTTGTATGCAAGAAGATGCGCTTATGTAAATTAATTTCCCCCCTTTTTCTTTTTTCTTTTCTTCTTTGGTTTTTTTTTTTTTTTTTTGGTTTTTTTTTCCACAACTTCATAAAAAAAAATTTTTTTTTTAAATTAAAAAGAGATTATAAAAACCCCTTTTATTACGTGACATCATCTGCACATATAAAAACAAAAGATTTTTCTCAGGCTTTTGTGACTTTTTTTTCCTTTTACCTTCTTCCTTCTTCCTTTTTTTTTTAACCAAATAAATGAAAATTAACTAAGGAGAGAGAAATTTTTTTTTTTATATATACTTTTGGCAAATATCTTTTTGTTTTCAACCTTTTTTTTTTTTTGTTTCTTCTTTTTAATTTTATTTAATTTTTTTTTTTTTTGCATGTTTCATCATCATCATCATCCCTTTCAAATCCTTTTTTTTTTTTTTTTGGACTGGACCTAATGTTTCACACGCTTATTTAGAATATTAAATAGAAAAATTTTAATTACGTCTTTTATTATTCCTTTTTAACGTGGAAGAAGAAGAAGACAAAAAATTGAGCAAAAAAAAAAACTTTTATGTCGGTTTTTGTCGGTTTGTGTCAACTCGTGAGAATATAAAATAAAAAGAAAATTTTTTCCACAAAACAGTACGCATGATAATAATAATAATAATAATAATAATAAAGAAACCATCCAGGAAATCGCACTATGTGGGACGGCCCACATTTTTCTTTGGAAAATTTTAGCACCAACAAAATTCGAGCATTTATCCCTAAGGAATCGTCGGGTAGAAACCTGGAATAAATGCTTAAAAATCCCGACAAATAATAGCCTTGTCGTGTTTAAGAGTGACCATAATAATAATAATAATAGTAACTCTTACGTCATCAAATTATTAATAAAAAATTTTCTTCGAACTCGACAGAACTCGACACACGCAAGAAAAAATTATTTATTTTTTTTCGAATGAAACGTATACGCGTGATGTCACTGATGACGTAACGGCAAAAATAATAAATTTCGCGCCAAAAAAAATAAACAAACAAACGAGAGACTGACTGACAGACGATATTTTACGTTGATGACACGACGATGATGACGACGACGACGACCTAAGACAACGTTTTACACGTTAAATAATAATAATACTAATAAAAGTTCGTTACGCGTAAAAATAATAATAATAATGACAGTTTGTTACGCGTAATAATGATAATAATAATAGTTCGTTACGCGTAAAAATAATAATAATGATAATTAAATAAATTTAAAAGTGTTAATTGAATTACGTATGGTTAAAAGATTCTACCTGAGATTTTAGTGGTAGTATTTAGTAGTAGCCTTGGGCTACGCTTAAGGCAAGCCCTTGAAATAAAAAAAAAAAAAAAATTTTTTTTTTTTTTAAATAGTCTCCAAACAACCATTTCCTATTCAAATCGCATCCATCCATACATAAAAGACAATCTTGATGAGAACAAAAAAAAGACAAAAAAAAAAAAAATTAAATTTATAAACTTCCGCGTTTCGGGGGAATTTACACTCGAACCGAGTAGGATTATTAAGTATGGAAAAGGCGGCTCCAAAAAAAAAAAAAAAAAAAAAAAAAATTTTTTATATACGAAAAAAAAACCCAAAACAATCAAAAAAAAAAATTTTTTTTTTTTTTTTTACGAGCAACAAAATCTGAATAAAAAAAAATTATTTAGCGTCTGATGATAGTAAAAAAAAAAAAAAAAAATAGAAAAAAAAACGTGCCTCCGGGGTAATTTTAACCCTTTAACCATAATAAAAAATCCACCCTTTTTTTTTTTTTTTTTTCCTGATACTTAATGATCCTGGTCAGGTTGACTGCCACGGTATTAAAACAGTTCCCGATTTTTTTTTTTTTTCCTTTTTTTTTTTTTGTGAGTTTTTTTTATGTGTGGGGGGGGGGGGGGGGGGGGGGGGGTGTGCCCCTTACATTGTTTTCCCCTCCCCATATTTTTTTTTTTTTTTTTTGTTTTAGGAGCAAAGTAATAAGAAAAAAAAATTTTTTTTTATACTCTTTTTTTTTTTTTTTTTTTTTTTATCATCTAAATGAATTTTCTCATGGGCTATTTTTTATTCCCTTTTTTTTTTTAGATTTTTTTTTAATACGTTAAGGGTTGTTAACAGGAATTAGTATGCCGGAGACCATTTTTTTTTCCTTTTCCTTTTTTTTTTTTTTACATCAAACAAATCATTCAATTAATAAAAAAAAAAAAATTTTCTATGTGTGTGAATGGGAAAAAGTTTTGGGTTTTTTTTTTTAAATATTTCATTTAATTAATTTTTTAAAATCATTATTATTATTATTATTATTTAACCTTAATAATTTTTTTACGGTGAGAAAAAGTTTTTAGAATTTTAAATATGGCGGCGGATAGGGTTGAAAATTTCAGGCGTGAATTATTTTTATTTTTTTTTTTTCAACTAATTTTTAAACAAATGGATATATTTTTTGGAATTTTTAAAAATTTTAAACTGTTACGACGCCATATTTATTTTCGAAAAGAGAGAGAGAGAGACAGAGAGAAAGACCAAAGAGACAGAGAGAAAGACCAAAGAGACAGACAGAGAGAGAGAGAGAGTGAGAGAAAGAGACAGACAGAGAGAAAGACCAAAGAGACAGACAGAGAGAGAGAAAGAGAGAGAGAGAGAAAGATGCAGACAGAGAGAGAAAGAAAAAGAGACAGAGAGAAAGGCAGAGAAAGATACAGACGGAAAGAGAGAGAGAGAAAGATACAGACAGAGAGAGAAAGAAAAAGAGACAGAGAGAAAGGCAGAGAAAGATACAGACGGAAAGAGAGAGAGAGAGAGAGAGAGAGAGAGAGAGAGAGAGAAAGATACAGACAGAGAGAGAAAGAAAAAGAGACAGAGAGAAAGGCAGAGAAAGATAAAGACGGAAAGAGAGAGAGAGAGAGAGAGAGAGAGAGAAAGATACAGACAGAGAGAGAAAGAGACAGAGAGAAAGATACAGGCAGAGAGAGAGAGAGAGAGAAAATAATTAATTTTTGAAATACCGTTTTTAAATTTGAATAATAATAATAATAATAAATTTAAATAAATCATTGTATTAAATAAATTTTTTTTTCATTAGGTATTAAATTAATTAAAAAAAAAAAAAAATTTTTTTTTTTTTTTTTTCTAGAATCATGCAGAAATGAAGTTAAAGAAGATTTTAAAAATGATTAATTAATTTGAAATGTTTTGACAATGAACCCATGGGAAATTAAGTTTTTTTTTTTTTTTTTTTTGATTTAATACGAGTGCAACATCATAATCTCGAGTTCTTTCATTTTAGTCATGTAAACTTTGACATTCCCTCAGTTTTTTTTTGCCCACAAAAAACTATAAAACGTCTTTTTTTTTCTTTCTCTCTCTCCCCGACAAAAACCATTTGAAAATAAGGTAGGAAGAAGAAGACAGAAACCCTTTAACAGACTTTTTTTTTTCTCAACGTCATCACGAGGAAGATACATTTAAAATGATAAGCATTTTTTTTTTTTGTGTTAAACCTTAAATTATTAAATTTTTTTCTTTTGTAACAATAACGAATCGTTTTTCATGGCACATTTTTACGGGAAAACCATCAAAATTTAAAACAAACAATAAATATTTTATTATTATTACTTACCTGTTCCGTTTCCGTTTCTGCTAACGATTTTTTGAATATCCGGATTCGAACATGGCGGTTTCTGTACAAAATTTTGATTTTGTATTAATGATTTTGTTGATATAAATGGTATTGTTGTTGTTGTTGTTGTTGGGGATTGATTAATCCCTTGATTTCCTCCTGGAGATTCACAACCGCTACCACATTTATTTATTTCCTTGGGATCCATTTTAATAAAAAAAAAAAAAAACAAAAAAATCACCGTAAAAAAAAAAAAAATTTTTTTATAACTCCATCACCTATAATAATAAATTTTTATTTTATTTTTCATTATTATTATTATTATATTATTCGATAATTGAAAACTTTTTGCTTCTCTTTTTCAGCTAATGATCATCAATAATTATTATTATTATTATTATTTTTCCGTTTCGATCTGAAAAAAAAATTAAAAAAAATTAAAAATTGTTTAACAACGTGTTAATACAATTTAAAAAGTGTAAAATAGGATTATCTTGTGTGTTTATATTATTTAACAAATTCTTTTTTTTTTTCTTCTGCTTCTTATTTTATTACACTTTTTATTACTTTTTCCCCGATTTTTAAGGGATTATCTTTTTAATACCCTTTTTCTATTTGAATTTAACAATTTTTAAATTTATTTTAATTAAATTAATGTTTTTTTTTGTTTTCTATTTTATGGCATTGCATGGAATAACAAAACATAAATTTTTTTACTCAAAATTCATTTTTAATTTTTTTTTTTTGTTTTTAATTTGTTATTTTGATTAATATTTAAACATTTAAACATTTAAAACATAAAACAAAACATTATTTAAACATATAAAACAAGTTTTTCCCTTTTTGTTTTTCAATCAAACCGTTAAAGAATTTAAAATTTTTGCACAATATTATTTTAAATAATAATTTCAGGATTGTTACTAACAATTAAATTAATTTATTAATAATACTACTTGAAAATTATTAAAACATGATCCAATAACAATAATAATAATAATGATAATTTATTAATAAGTTTTACATAACATAAAAAAACTTTGCAGTATTAAATATTATTTTTATTAACAAATGAAAGTTTTTTTTTATTCATTTCTTTTTGTTAATAGAATTGCACTGCATAAATTTTTTAGTTTTATTTGTAATTATTAATAATTTTAAACATTTACATAAATTTCAAAATGAATTTTAAAATGTCGTAAGAATTAAAAAAAATATTTTTTTAAACGATGAGGAAAAGAAATTAAAAATTTTTTTTTAATTATGTTACACCTTAAGAGAGAAAACTTAATTAATTTTTTATTTTTTATTTAAATAGTTTTTAAAATGGAGAATAATTTTATATTAAAAATGAAATTTGGTTAAAATTATGTACATAGATACATATATATTTTAAATTAAACTTTAAATATTTTCACATGCAAATTTAATCACAAGTATAAATAATTAAATATTAAAGTATATACTTTTAATTATAAATGTTTTTTTTTTTTTTGGGGAAATATAATTAAATAGTTTTGTATTTTACGATTATTCAATCGTATAAATATACATAACTAACTTAATAATTTATGTATATATTAAAAAAATAACGATTTCTTTAACGTTTTTTAGTAACATTAAGTATTGTTATTTTGCATGTTTTTTATTTTTTATTTAATTAAAAAGGGAAAAAAACTACTAAAAATCATTTGAAATTATTTTAAATCGTTATTTAAAGTATAAAATTTGATATTTTTTGCCGATTAAACTATTTTTCTGTCGTTTAAATTAAAAAAAAAAAAACGTTTTTAAAATTGAAATTTGAAATAGAAGCGTCGTTGCTGATTTATTAACGGCGGCGCGACATTTAACGAATTTTATGACAATCGAACGCTCAGATAATTTTATAACCGAAAACGTTAAACAAAAGAAATATTTAATCGTTTTTAATTATTAATAATAATATACGTACCTAATAATTATTTAAAAAAACGATAAAAATAACGATTCGTCACTTAATTCTTTCTTTTAGATTTAATAATTATTAAAACGAAACGATAAACGCACAGTTTCATTAGCTGAACACGACAGCAAAACGTTTTCAAAATGGCGTCCTCCACTCCAAGTTTTTTACTGGTAAGTAAAAAAAAATAATAATTTTTTATTAACACGCTTAAAAAAATATATGCGTAAAGTTTAAAATCACAATTTAAATAAAAAAACGTTTAATTAATTTTAAAAAATTATTATTAATCGATCGTTTTTAACTAATAAACTCGTTCGATAAAAACCGACAAGTAGTTTCACATGTTTATTTAATTTCAAAAATAAAAATTTTAACGAGTTCGTAAGAGAAAAACAACTGAATTTGATATGGCAAAATAATTTTTAATTATTTCATAACAAAATTCTAATATTATTAAAAAAAACTTATAAAAGAAATAGGAATTATTTTTTGTTTAGTTTGATTTTAAATTATATAATGAACCCGTTCGCAACCCTTTTTTAATAAAAAAATAAAAAAATTTATAATCCGTTATTTTACCGGCAAAAAATTTAAAGGGGAAAAATTAGGAAGGGGTGAGTGTTGATCATGGTTGTGTTAACTCATCATTTTAAAAAGAACTATTTTCATCATTGATTAGCCTAAGTAATTCTTATCATCTTATTTTATTTTTATCTTACATTATATGACTTAAAAAATATATTTTAACCACTTTAGTAAAAAACTTAAACTTTTAATTCTTTACATAAAAAAAAAAAATTTATTAATATTACTATTTTATTTTTTTTAATAAATAATAATATTTTATTAAATTTTTAATTAATGTAAAATAAACTGTTTTAATTTTTTCTTTGAAATCATTTAAAACTACCCAAAAAAAAAAAAAAAATTTTTTTTAAATTCAAACTGTTTGAATAACTTTTTTTTTTTATTAAATGTTTTCGGGTTAAAAAGAAAGGAAAAAAATACATGCAATGAAAAGTTAAAAAAAAAAAAAAAAATTATTACTTATTCATGTTTTTTTTTATTGTACAAAAAAAAAACCACAATCTAAACCGATCGCCCACCTTATGTTGTTTAATTTCAAGTGTGAAAAATCATCCATATTAAATTCAATGTTTCATGATTAATCATTAATCATTTATTTTTGTTATGAATTACATGCATAAATAAATAAAAAATATTAAATTTTTTATTAACCTGTTGTCGTTGTTGCTTTCTTTAAAAAAAATTTTAGTAATATTTTTGTTTCAGAAAAAAAAAGATGAAATATTTCATTTTTTTAATGGATGAAGGCAGGTTTTTAATAAATAATTAAAAATTTTTTTTTGTTACAGGTATTTATTTTGAAATAATTACATCTTAATAAATGGAAAAAAAAATTATAATTACGATTGTTTAATCATTCTTATTTAATGAAAATTTAAAATTTTCTATAATAATTTTATATCGATTTGAATTTTTTTTTTTAACAATACAATTTTATTGTTAAAACAATTATTTTACTAAAGTACAACAAAATATAATGAAAAAATATTTTTTTTAAACAAATAATCAAATTTATCATATCAGAAACATTAAAATTATTTTTAATAATTAATTCTAAAAAATTTAACTAATTTTTGGTTTCACAGACTTCTTCGAATATAATTATTAAGAAAAATTTCACATAATATCACTGTATTAAACTAAATCATTTCATTATATACATTATTTATATTTTATGATATATTATAAAAATTAAACATTATAACATTTTCTTTAGAAAAATTATGTACATTTGTTAAATCGGCTACAGTTCTTCGTTCAACTATTTACCAAAGCCACCCAAACATTTTGGACTAGGAGCAGTATTTTCTTCAGGATTCCATTGTGATGGAGTTTTAGCCTAAAAGTAAGTATACAAAAATTACTTTATTTTAATATATACTTATTCAACTTATAAATATCATATTAACATTATTTACTAACAACAATAGAAAGTGCATGAACTCCATTTTGTAATTCATATTCGAGAGTTGAATTGACTAATCTATGCCTCTGAAATAAAAATTATACATGATTTTATAAATTATCAAGTAATATAATGCTTTTAATTATCAAAATTGAAGATTTAAAAACAAAATTAAATTTAACGCTCACCTGTAAAAGTGTCATATTCTCAAATTTATCTGATACTAATACAATTTTAAAATGAGTTTCTGAACCTTTCGGTACATTGTGCATGTATGATTCATTAATTATTGATAAATGTATGGGATTTAAAGCAGATTCAAGTTTGTTTTTCATTGAATTCTCAACAGGTTTATTATTCATTGTGCTCTTAAAAGAAAATTCACAATATTTTCTAATGTGATTTAATATGTAGTTTCTTTTACCTATTAAAAACAAAAGCGTTTTTTTAAATAAATAAATAACTATTTATTAATTTAATTTAAATATACAAATAAATACTAAAACATACCCCACTGACAAAAATTGCCAGAAAACATAATCTAAATTATAATAATAAAAATTTATAACCTAAAACATGATATTTATTATTTACATTTACTATTACATAACGTTTGTCGCAATTATATAAAAACGGGGGAATTTCGTTTAACAGTTTTTAAGTTGGCAATAGTTAACCCGCGCGGTACTTGTTCGTGTGGTTGGTTTTCATTTTCTTTCTAATAATTTTATTTGGCGTTCAATTTTAAAAAGGTAAAATTATTAATAATTATTATTATAATGTTTAATATTTGCATGAAAATAAATAAATAATATAAAAATAAGTTTGGGAAAAAGTTAAACATTAAATTTTCTGATTGAGAGCATCATTTCGTTAATGACGCTTTTGATGAATTTGAAAAAAGAAGTTAATTATAGGAAAATTACCGTATATAGAGTAAAATTTATTTCTAAAAATTATTTAATGAAACTCTACATATTTTTGTTTAAAGTTATCGATTCAAAAACTCTGTTGTATTGTAAAATAAAATTTAAGAATATTAACATGTTTAATATGCATGATATTCTCTGCATGAATTTTGCAATGGCTGACATTTTTTTTTACTTTTAATTTAACTCAACAAATTATAAATTTTAATATATAAAAAATATAGTTTGAAGAAAAACTGTTTGTGTTTTCAATAATTTCTTATAAAATCATGTGCAAATGTTTCAGTATTCAAATTCTTATTCTTATCTGACAGTTAACTTGACCACAAAGTTAAAAATTAAATGATTTATAAATGTGTTTAAAACAAAATTCAGTTTTAAATGAACCATTTCATTCAGTACAAAAAGAAATGAAAAAATTATTTTTTATAAATCTTACTAGCCTATAATTAATCACCATTTTAAACGTTATTAATTTAATTTTAAAAATAGATTTTTCTTACAAACTCATAGTCCTGTAAGAACATCAATACAATATGGCGTAGATTAATTTTAATATTACAAAAAAAAAAAATGTTAGTTTGCATTTAATATAATCATCGCCTCTTGTTTTTCATTTGTTATTTGATTTATTTATAAAGCTTACTACTGTCGTTAATCATTAAAATTTTATATTTATCCTGTTACACGTTCTACACGGTCTACTTAAACAATTAATTATTACTCTTTTTTTTTTTTATTTATTTATAAAATGAGAGATAGAATCGCTTTTGTAAAAATCCGTGAATAATACATACAATTGACTCTTAAAACAATAGACTAGAAATCATGTCAGAAAGCCCACATTTTAAAATTTATCACAATCAAATTCTTTTTTTCTTTCCCTCATGAATCCCCCCACCCCCCGAAAAAAAAAAAAATTAAATCAAATAACAAACAATACATTATTAATTAACTTTTAGTTTTGTTAATTTTATTTTTATAATAAAACCAACAATTTATTAATTGTTTCATTTAAAAAAAAAAAAAAAAAAATTTATTTAAATAATAGATGTGCTTACAATCTTACAAAATAAATAAATAAATAAAATCAATAAATATTTCAAATGTATATAAAATATTTTAAAGAAAAAAGTTTTTGTTAAAACACCCTCAGTCAAATTTTTTTTTTTTGTTTGTTTTATAATTCAAACCCCCCCCCCCCCCCTCCCCCACAAAAAAAACTTTGAATTTAACACAAAATATATAAAATTATATTTAATTTACACTGAAACATTTTTATTTAAAAAAAAAAAAAAAATTATAAATTTTATTTTAAAAACATAATTAACTTTAACCACGAAACAAAATTATTATTATTTTAAATATAAGTTATAAAAAAAAAAAGTAAAAAGTAGAAAAATTTAAAACAAATTATTTAACGGTTTATAATAATAATAATAATAAAATTTAAATTTAAATTTAAGAAACATGCAAATCATTATTTATAATAATCATTTAAAGTGAGAAATAAATTACTTAAATTATATATATATATTTTTTTTTTTATAAAAACTAAATTTTATCACGTCAGTTTTGATAAAAACGTTTTTTTGTTTATTTTTTATCAAAATAAATAATTTCGTTAAAAATTTATTTATTTATTTCTAATAGTTTTAAATAAAATAATTTTAAAATAAAATAAAAATTACGGTTTTTAGTATTGCAAAAAGAAAAAAAATATGTAATTAACACAATTGGCACGAATTTATCATTAATTAGGGGGAAA